GCGACTTGTCACCTCTCCTGACAACTATCTCCTTGTTCTCACGAAGGCTTTTAGCTGCCGCTTTAAGCTCGGGGGACAGTATGGTGCTTCTGTAGTTGCCTCGATTCTTTCCTCCTTCTGCAATAAGTTCTGCTTGTAAGGTATCTTTGGTAGTGACCTTCTTTTGTGTCTCGAGGTCGAATATGTCGTCCAACAGGATTTCCAACTCTACTTTCCGGGCCATTTCACTCGGTCTGGACATAACATGACAGTTTATGCCCAGATTTAGGAGAGTGACTGGGTCCTCAGTGAGGTTAATTCCTGCAAGGTTCAGGAAGCCATCTCTTGGTCGTGGAATTGCCATAGGTCCTCCATATAATGTTGTTAGTTTCTTGATAATCCTTGTTTCAGTGCTGAGGTGATGTTGGTCTGTGAGGATGTCGAGGTGTTGTTCAATGCGGGTACGGATACTATGGTCGATGTTGCTATTTCTCCACTCGTTTGTAGCATGAAGTAGTTGCGTTTTGTTGTCTTTGATTTCATTCTCTGCCTTGTATATCTGATCACGAATCAGATCCTGGCGATATTTTATCGTGAAGGCTTGATTCCTTGCTGCTGGGTCGTGCACTTTAACATTAGTATATTTTGGTAGCAGTCTTTCCTGTAGACATATATTATTAAATATGACCGAAAAAGTAAGATTAATAATTCTAACACGAATTTTCTCAATCTTTCGTACATTACGCTTCACTGTTGGAGGTAAATCAAAAATCACTTCTCCAAAATTCATTTTTATTTCTAGTCTGACGCGACACGGGCGCGTTTCGTAAAACTTATTACATTTTCAAAGACTTCACAAATACACAACTCAAATGTAATGCCACATCACCCTTCCCACCTCACTCAAATGTAGATATAAAATCAGGGAAACGCAAGTTCTAATCAGTTGTGTATTTGTGAAGTCTTTGAAAATGTAATAAGTTTTACGAAACGCGCCCGTGTCGCGTCAGACTAGAAATAAAAATGAATTTTGGAGAAGTGATTTTTGATTTACCTCCAACAGTGAAGCGTAATGTACGAAAGATTGAGAAAATTCGTGTTAGAATTATTAATCTTACTTTTTCGGTCATATTTAATAATATATGTCTACAGGAAAGACTGCTACCAAAATATACTAATGTTAAAGTGCACGACCCAGCAGCAAGGAATCAAGCCTTCACGATAAAATATCGCCAGGATCTGATTCGTGATCAGATATACAAGGCAGAGAATGAAATCAAAGACAACAAAACGCAACTACTTCATGCTACAAACGAGTGGAGAAATAGCAACATCGATGATAGTGTCCGTACCCGCATTGAACAACACCTCGACATCCTCACAGACCAACATCACCTCAGCACTGAAACAAGGATTATCAAGAAACTAACAACATTATATGGAGGACCTATGGCAATTCCACGACCAAGAGATGGCTTCCTGAACCTTGCAGGAATTAACCTCACTGAGGACCAAGTCACTCTCCTAAATCTGGGCATAAACTGTCATGTTATGTCCAGACCGAGTGAAATGGCCCGGAAAGTAGAGTTGGAAATCCTGTTGGACGACATATTCGACCTCGAGACACAAAAGAAGGTCACTACCAAAGATACCTTACAAGCAGAACTTATTGCAGAAGGAGGAAAGAATCGAGGCAACTACAGAAGCACCATACTGTCCCCCGAGCTTAAAGCGGCAGCTAAAAGCCTTCGTGAGAACAAGGAGATAGTTGTCAGGAGAGGTGACAAGTCGCCAATATATGTCATTCTTAAAAAAGACGAATATCTGGCGAAAATGAACATCATACTCTCTGACCAAACTAAGTTCCAAAGGGTAACGAAGGACACTACAGCCGAATTAAAAGCAAAGGTCAACAAACTGATCGAAACTGTGAACGCCAAGAAATCCGGACTCCACCTGCCAAAGATCATTGGGGAATATAAACCTGGATATGCGTATGGAAATGTCAAGACGCACAAGCCTGGAAACCCACTTCGGCCAATCATTAGCCAGATACCCACACCCACGTACAGACTGGCGAAGCGACTCAACGGCCTGCTGACTCCTTATGTTCCTTGCGCCTTCAGCCTGAAGTCTCCAAAGGAATTTGTGGACTTACTGCGGGGCGCACGGGCCACAGGGATAAGAGCCTCGTTGGACGTAGAATCGCTGTTTACCAACGTACCTGTGGACGAGACAATCGGAATGATAGCCGACAGAGTGTATCGTGATCCAGCCTGTACTCCTCTTGACATGCCAGAAAGTATTCTGAGGAAACTACTCCAAGCATGTACTAAAGAGGCACCCTTCTTGAGCCCGGATGGGCACATGTATAAGCAAGTAGATGGGGTCGCCATGGGTTCTCCCCTAGGTGTCCTGTTTGCAAACTTCTACATGGGTACCATCGAGCAAAAAGTCTTAGTCGACATGAACTTGAAACCGGCCATATACTGCAGGTATGTTGACGACATTTTTACACAGGTACCTGATGTCAGACATCTGCAGGAGCTGAAGGAGGCATTTGAGCAGAGTTCCGTGCTGCGTTTCACTTACGAGACGGAAAAGGATGGGAAGCTGCCTTTTCTAGATGTAACAGTCATGGAAAAGGGCGGAGGTTTCCACACTGCAGTCTACACAAAGGAAACAAACATAGGAATGTGCCTAAATGCCAACAGCGACTGCCCTGACAGGTACAAGAGGAGTGTTGTTAACGCATACGTCGACCGTGCTCTCAGCCACAGCTCAGAATGGAAGCAAGTCGACGAAGAACTCTGTAGGGTAAGGCAGGTCCTAGTCAATAACGGCTTCTCCAATGGTTTCATCGAAGACATCATAAGAAGGAAAGTGAAAAGCCATGCAACCTCCGAAGAGACAGCTAACACAACACCTATACCCCCTATTAGACTATTTTACAGGAACTTCTTTTCCACAGCTCATAAAACAGAGGAAAGGGTCCTGAAAGATATTGTTAATAGAAACGTTATCCCTACAGACAAAAATCAGAGGATACAACTGACGATTTACTATAAAACCAGAAAAACGGCCAGCCTACTCATGAGAAACTCTCCAGACACAAAACAGAACGCTTTAAAAGAGACTAACGTCGTCTATGCCTTCAAATGCCCACTTGGGGACTGTAAGCTCCAAAAAACCCAGTATATAGGCAAGACAACAACATCTCTTTCTAGGCGTTTAACGATGCATAAACAACAGGGCTCCATTAAGGAACATATAATCTCTTCCCATAACCAAACCATCGCCAGAGAAATCCTAGTAAACAACACAGAAATCATCGATAGATACAGCGATAGCAGGCGGCTTGACGTTTGCGAGGCACTACACATCAAGAAGTCAACACCAGCAATCAACAGCCAATTATTGCACAACTATATTCTACCCACCTCAAGACTCCGCTCCAATATAGAAGCATCAAGAAATATGGACCAATAGGCTTTCTACAAACACTTCTATTCAATACCCATTGTTTCTGTTCTGTCTTGTGTTGATACTTTTAATACCCTATTAATATCCCCTAGTGTTCTGTCTTGTGTTAATGCCACATCACCCTTCCCACCTCACTCAAATGTAATGCCACATCACCCTTCCCACCTCACTCAAATGTAGATATAAAATCAGGGAAACGCAAGTTCTAATCAGTTGTGTATTTGTGAAGTCTTTGAAAATGTAATAAGTTTTACGAAACGCGCCCGTGTCGCGTCAGACTAGAAATAAAAATGAATTTTGGAGAAGTGATTTTTGATTTACCTCCAACAGTGAAGCGTAATGTACGAAAGATTGAGAAAATTCGTGTTAGAATTATTAATCTTACTTTTTCGGTCATATTTAATAATATATGTCTACAGGAAAGACTGCTACCAAAATATACTAATATATATATATATATATATATATATATATAATACATATATATATAAATATATATATGTATGTATATGTGTGTGCGTGTGTGTGTGTGTCCACCCTGGCTGACACCTACATACACTTCGGTGCTGATCAAGCGGGTGGGACAGCCAACCACAGAAAAATAGCAAAATCAGTCAAATACAGGCGATTGGAAGGTCAATTCCCCCTTTGTTCCCATAGCGTCTGAGGCGCATGGCCCCTGGGGTAGGAGTGCCTTTTGATTTCTCAAAAGAATTGGGTTCTAGGCTCATTGGCATCACCAGAGATTTACATTTGGTAACGTCTACATCGCAATATATTACAACTCCCAGAGACTGTCATAAGCGAGGTTATTAGGAGACTTTGTTTTATCCCGTTTGGTTGCGACTCAATTTTTGTGATTAATTTAAAGTATTTGGTGAGAAATTTAAATTTCTTTCTTCAGGGCCTGTCTTTGTTTGTGTGTGGTTTGTCAGTCCTTTGGAACATCGTGCACTTTGCCAGGGAGCTGCTTTACCACCCTATTTCCAGGACCTAATTTTTAAGCAACATATATTTCTCAGTTGCTTGTTAGTGGTCAAGTGGTCATTTTCTTCAAAATTTCTGGGACTCTCAAGGCGTCCTTCTCAACAATGACGTGTTAAGACATCAGATCTCCGGGCCTTGGTTAATCCAGTCACTCACCGACCAGCTCTGTAATGAAGAGAAAGTTTAAAGGAAGCCACGAAGTACAGAAGCTGCAAAAGGAGATAATTTGAGACCGGACCGAGATATAGGCTTCATGTTACAGATATGTGTGTTGTGATGAGAACTGTGATGGAGAACTCTAGTTGTGTCATAGTACGAATGTGTTTAATTTTACTGCAGAAATAAGCATGTGCAAAATTGGAATAAGAGGCCACGTAATTATTGCTCCTCGTGTTACAAACTGTCCGGAAAATGTAACTGACTAATAAACAAATAATATTTGTTTGTAAATGAGTCACTGTTCTGTTCACTATTACCATTTAATCTTGGATTGTTTCATTAATTATTTCTTGCATGCAACATTCTTCAACATTACATTCTTTTCACTGCAGGTCAACATGTGACAACGTTTGACCTTCGCCACTACGAGTTCCTGGGTTCCTGCTCATACCTGCTAACTAAGGACTTTGTGACTGACGACTTTGAGGTTGTTGGCATATACAAGGCCAAAGATGGTGCTGCAAGTCTAGACGCCATTGTTGTTCACGGCCAACGCATAGATGTCACCCTACACGTGGACGGCACCGTCGAGACCTCTCAAGCTGGAGCTCAGGTCAGCGTTCCGTGTTGTTAGTCATGAACACTATTGTTTCTTCCATAGCTCAATACTATTACTCTATTAGTCTGAGTTACATTATTATGCACACGCAAATATTTTTTCCTCCTCAATTTCCAATACGATTTACGAAACGTTTCGACATTATAAGTAATGTTTGCATAGCTTGGTTTGGGTCCCGGTAGTGGAGTCCGATTAGGGTCCTGGTAGTACAGTAGGGTTCGTTCTCGACTCACAATCGAGAATCCTTGGCGGGACAGAAATAATTGGGCAAGTTTCCTATCACCTAATGCCGCTGTTTACCAAGCAGTAAATAGACACACAGGAGTTAACTTGTTGTTGGGCTGCATCCAGGGGAGGGTCAGTAAGTTGACCCTGGGATGGGGGGTACCTCGATTTATGCTTGGCATATACTGTATATATAAACTGACTACCTATCCCCCAACACAACGAATTCTTAATTGTTAAATAAAAGGGTTACCACATGGATGCAGTTTTTCCTTCCTCAGTGGAATATCAATAAGCTACAGGCATCTTCAAAATTATGAATGATTTCCCTTGGGCAACCTCTTAAAGGAAGTATCTATTAAGGTATATCCTTCTTGAAGGATTCTCTCGGTATTTTCCTGGAGCTTTCAGAATCACATTTGGTTGTGAGACCTATCCTGACCTACCCGCTCTGCAGAGTTCTTCATAGCTTCCTAATTCCTAATCTCACTTCTCCCAACAGCAATACCTTCTCTAAAGGGTTCGGGTTTCCTCCTCTGTGAGTCGGCTCCTCTTGAGTCGCCTAGCTTCTGGGTATCGAGTACGACTTTTTCACCATTGAGAGGCCTTTCGATGAGGAATTCATATAATTAGCTTTGTGCTAGTGTGCGTTTACAAATTTCTGATTCATGTGTTTCAGTGCCTGAGGTCTTTCCTAGGTGTGACATTGGGTCATACTGATTCTTCCTTATCTGTGATTGTTGCTATCTCTCTCGGACAATATTCGTGGATAAGTGTAAGACTTGCCTTCTTCCTGGCATGCCTGCCCGTTTCCGTTGCACTTTGGGTAGTCTCACGTGGGCCGTCACCACAAAGTCTGCCATATTGCAAACCATGATATGCACGAGATTATTATCAACATCAGGAAAAACAGCTCCGTTCCACTGCAAGCAGCTAACACCAAGGTACGTCGCCCAGGTACCAGAACAAGAATCGTAGATACCAGTAGACACAACCATGCGATCAAGGACATACAGCCCGGGGACTAGCGCCCAGTGCTAGGATAAAATGTTCAGTGCCAGGGAACGCAGCCAGTGTCACACTATCAGTAGTGCAAGAGCGGGGTTTAGGGTAGAAAACTTGGGGCAGCACGTAATACCAAAAGAGAACAGGGAGGCCGCACCCAACACAAAGAACGGAGAGTGTCACCCAGGGCCTCCATTTAGCTCAGCTATAAGACGATTACAGAAACGTTTGAATCACAGAAAGCCCCGTAATGTCCCTCTCCCAGAGTCGCAACAGGAAAGAAGACTATAGAGTCCACAAACCAGGATTGAAATTGAAACCAGGATACCGCCACCTGGTGAACCCCTGGGACCAGGAGCAAGATAACGAACAGGAGGTAAGTCAAAGTAAGCACAATGGTAACCTTATCCCATGCATAGCAAAAAGGGAAATGAAATAATGGAGGAGACGGCTGGGCAGAGCCTGGAGCATAATAGGATGAACAGGAAACCAAGCCCAGAGAAATCCCAATGGATAAGCTGTAGAGCCAAACCAACCTGGATCCAAGCCAGCAAAAACGTGCCTAGAAGGTCACCTCCCGCTGCCATTGGTGAACACCACGAAAGGTCGGCTGGAATGTATCTGTGACAGGTCTGGCGAGTTCCACCCACTTCTGGCGGCCGTTGAATCTTCTGGCTCAAATAAACTGAAAAATCGGTAACCACAGCTACACAGATTAGCATTACAACTCCTGCCACAACCTGAGAACTTCCTGCACAGGGTTGTCCCAGGGTAGGAGCTGGCTGAACACATTGCAGACGTAGAAAAAAGGGTGTTTGGAATAGCACACTCAGCCGACATAATGTGAATTACAACTTCACCAGAAAGAAGGGAGGACAGAAAAGAATATCCAGCATGAGGGTGACAGACAAAATGTTCTCCTAGAAAGAACTTAAGACAGGAAGTCGAAAGACATCACTAACCGGAGAGAAGGTTGCCACCTCATCTGGAAGAAGCAGGTTGGAGAGCAGTCCAATTGCATGTGGAGAGAGTAGATTGGCTGCAGACACATGACATGGATGGCAAAGAGTCTTCCACAGAAGACCTTTTTTCGCTAGGAATTCGAAAGAACTCGTCTTCAGAGCAGCCAGGAACTAGAAACATCCACTAGTCGTAACGGAGCTTTGTGGTCAGAGACCAAAGATAGAGGAAAACATGGAACGAAAACATATAGCTGACAAAATTTCACCTCCTGAGACAAGGGAAGAGCATACAATGGCATAAAAGAAACTTGTAAGACAGCACCACGAATAAAAAAACTGTAAAGACCGCGGAAAAATTTCAACATTCGAGGACAGAGTGTTGAGAATGTCAAAACAAATCAGAAGTCCTTGAGAGACATAAAGGATTCTTATCCAGGATGAGTCAGAAACCTAGTACTGCACCCAGTAAGTGGCAATCGACTCAAATACCGCCTGGTCTAAGAAGTGGTTAGTTGAAGCCAGGAGAACCTGTGCAGAAAGGATGAATCTGAGCCAACAATATGCACACAGAAACGCACCTTTGGGGGCTCCAAAGAAAAGATACGTACATATTTAGACTTTATCGTCTCTCTGGCAAGGGGGAGGCGACAAAAAATCCACACACTAAGAGAAAGATCCTCTACTCCAAGGACTAGCCCCTCCCCCCCCCCCCAGGACGGTTCAAATGGCAACCATTCTTTTCCTTGGGAATCCCCGCCACTTCGGAGCCTACAGCTGACAGAGTTGTAAAAGATCCAAGAGTGGAACCCAAAGCCGACTCTCTTTCCAAATCCTGAGAAGCCCGATGTGAGAGTATACGTGCCACCAACAGTGGCCTCGCTCTGCCCCCCCCCCCCCCCCACCCCAAATGTGCATCATCCAGAGCAAAGGACGAATCAATCAGCACAAAAAAAAGATGAATACCAGGGACAGAACAACTCTCTATCCCTAGATAGTTGATTGGTTGATTGGAGTTGATTGGTCCCGAAAAAAACAATAAGTAGCTGCTGCAGCTTTATCTTTACATCTGCAGTCACCTGCAAGTCCTCGAACATAGGCTGTGGTAGAGCTTTAAGTAGCTGAGTGGGCTAGACAGCAGACAAGTCGAGGACGAAACACAGGAATATGCACTGAAGAACCACAGAAAGTCTTACCTTGGCATGAAAAGCCAAACTTAGCACTCTCAGATCCTCGGCAAAGCACAAGGAATAAGAACTATGCCAGGCATCCAGTGTCTGCACTTGTCGGTAAGGAGCCGCACGCGTCTAGAGACAAGCAGCCACCACCCGTAAAGGAGGCTAGGCGACTTTGGTAGTCGCCTAGCCTCTTAAATCATGAAAACTTAATCATGAAAAAGACCCAAAACTCAACAAGCATAGGCACCAAAAGCAACAAAGACGCTCGCTGGAGGTAAAGAATTATCATAGAACCTATGAAGCAGGAAAGACGAGATCAGTTCTGGGGTTGGGATCCATAGCAGCTCGGTCAGCAGCAACGTTCCCAACGGTCAACAACTGAAAGTTCTCCACCAAATAATTAGGTAGGAAAGCTCGGAAGCAAGAGGAGACATACATGGTGTCTCAAAAATGTATATACATGCATTAACAGTTGATAACTCAATTTATGTTTCTTTTTTCAGATTTAACCCATTTGAATTAATAATGACAGCCAGACTAAGCTCTGAACAAAGTAAATTCATCTTAAAATGCTACTGGAAGTTTGAGAATGCAGTTGAAGTACAAAGGCAGTTTCGGAGGTAGTTTCAAACAGATCCACCTATGCAACTTACCGTCACTCATATTAGAGACAAGTTTAAGCCGATAGAACTATTCAGAATGTCTAAAAGAAGCGTTCTGGAAGACCATAGACATCGACGAGCCATACAAGGCAAGAAGTATACTGGAAACGTATCACCAAGTTCCAAGAAAATCTGCGACATGGGAGTCGTGTAAAAGGAATTTCGAAATTGTCGTATTATGTAGCGCTGTCACCAGAAAAGTTACATTCCACGTTTAGTCCATACTATCAATGAAGATGATCGAGACCGAAGAGTGGAGTATGCGACTGGTACTCGGCAAGATGTTTAAACCACGCACACCGTCCAACAAATAAGATTTCAACTAAGATTCAACAGAGCAGAAGAAGTTGTTCTTCAAGTTGAACACATGGGGGAAGTTCTTCAACTTCAAGAAGAAGTTGAACACATGGAGGCATTATCTTACTGAAGCGAACATACGAGTCATAAATACTCATACTCCGCCAAAGTAAAACAGAAACAAGAAACATGTAACAATTAGTGGCCAGTCATAGGCTTAGGGCCCACTAAGGGCCCACTGATTTTGAACAGTTGAATGGTCCCCAGTGATCAGCCCAGTCTGGTCCAGCCGGAGGTTCCCCAGTGATCAGCCCAGTCTGGTCCAGCCGGAGGGTCCCCAGTGATCAGCTCAGTCTGGTCCAGCCGGAGGGTCCCCAGTGATCAGCCCAGTCTGGTCCAGCCGGAGGGTCCCCAGTGATCAGCTCAGTCTGGTCCAGCCGGAGGGTCCCCAGTGATCAGCCCAGTCTGGTCCAGCCGGAGGGTCCCCAGTGATCAGCCCAGTCTGGTCCAGCCGGAGGGTCCCCAGTGATCAGCCCAGTCTGGTCACAGTCGGAGGGTCCCCAGTGATCAGCTCAGTCTGGTCCAGCCGGAAGGTCCCCAGTGATCAGCTCAGTCTGGTCCAGCCGGAAGGTCCCCAGTGATCAGCTCAGTCTGGTCCAGCCGGAAGGTCCCGGGTTCAGTTCACGCGGAATTCAACGCTGGATTTTTTTACTTACTTTGAATGAGATGAATAGTGACCCTCGAATGGCCAAATAATGTGATGTTTCAAGGAGTTTACATAATTATGTCCCTAACTGTGCACATTACTCTATTATACAGAGAAAAATTCGGTTCTGTTCATTAATACAGAAGTGCACATTAGTACAAAACCATGAATTAAAATAGTACAAATCTGTGCACTAATATAATACTGTACTTTATATTAAAAATGACTGAAAATAAATAGAAAATATATTAGTATGTTAATCAAAAAGAAAATAAGCTGTTACAAATGGAACGAGTTTCGCTATATGTTTATAGTGGCAGAGGCTGAGGCACAGATGTCCTACCCCCAAGTCCTGATAATCACGCCCTCTACCTAGCGTTCTCGACACATACTCATCAAAAATATCTTATTAATAACTATTTCCCGTTGTCGGAGACAAGAAACCTGTGTGTGTTAGGTTAGCATCAAGGTCCCGTCCCCTGGGACAAACTGCTGACCTACCTCAGGATACAACCCATAACTGTTCCTTAACTCCCTGGAACGTATTTACTGCTAGACGATCAGAGTTATCAGGTGGAAGGAAACGTGTCCAACCGCTTCTGTCCCGCATGGGGATTACATCCGGCAATATTGACGGTGACTCGAGAACGTTGACCTTTGCTGAAGTCAAAGCTCTGTGATGCACCTTAAATAGAGATAAAATCGGAAAAGGTTCACGCTAAAGAGATGTAAATTGAATTTGCATAAATTAATTTGCGTTCCACGCAAATTAAACGCAGGATCAACGTCATCTATGTTAATTCAACGTTAAATTACCGTTGCAGGCGATGAGTCACAATAACGTGGCTAAAGTATGTTGACCAGACCACACACTAGAAGGTGAAGGGACGACGACGTTTCGGTCCGTCCTGGACCATTCTCAAGTCGATTATGACTTGAGAATGGTCCAGGACGGACCGAAACGTCGTCGTCCCTTCACCTTCTAGTGTGTGGTCTGGTCAACTTAAATTACCGTTGATGCAACGTCGAACCAAAGCCATTCTTGGATATTATGCAAACTTGGCAGTTGCTTGGAGGTCATGCCGCTACTGATGACGTTAGGTCAGTGACCCGAGGTGGTCAGTGACCCGAGGTGGTCAGTGACCCGAGGTGGTCAGTGACCCGAGGTGGTCAGTGACCCGAGGGGGTCAGTGACCCGAGGGGGGTCAGTGACCCGAGGGGGTCAGAGACCCGAGGGGGTCAGTGACCTGATGGGGGTCAGTGGCCGGTCTACGACGTGCCATCAATCACTTGTCGCAACTTCACACCTCGTCGCCAAATTTTCCATCGACGCGACGACTTGGGAAAATAATATCCAGCGGCTATAGGTGCCATAAATTTATACACAACACAGCATTCCTTATCAAACTTAGACATATCGTAGCCAAAAATAAATTATCCCAACATTAAAGCATATATAGTGCATAGTGGTGACTTGGTGAGTCACCAAAATATTATAGTGGTGAGTTGGTGAGGTGCTTGACACACTAGGTGAGGCACCGAGTCGCTGGGACGCACTCAAGAAGGAAGCAAGAAAGACAGACTAAAGTCAATTACCACAATGGAGGAGTCATGTCACTGCTGTCCGTCCTCTTCCACAACGTTACTGTGTGGAGTGTTCCATACCTTCAACCCCTTGACCCCCGCGGGTCAACCCCAGTCTCACCGACTGGCAGCCAGGCGCCAATTTCCTGCAAAGTATAATAATAATTTATTGTGTTGGGGACAGGAAGCCAGAGTATATTCATACACGTTAGGCTTATCGAGGTCCTCCCGCCCCCCCCCCCCCCCCTAAGGTAGAATTACTGACCCAGCCCAGGATGCAATCCCACAACGATCTGAATAACTCCTGAGTACCTATTTGCTGCTAGGTAAACAGAGGCATTAGGTGAAAGGAAATGTGCCCAACCATTTCTGTCCCGCCCGGGATTCGAACCCGGAATTCTCGATTCGCCGAGAACGAACCGGACTGTACTGACTCATGACAACCAAGCGTGAGGACAGGTTGAGCCCGTTATCTTGAGGTTATCTTGAGGTTATCTTGAAGTTATCTTGAGGTTATCTTGAGATGATTTCGGGGCCTTTTAGTGTCCCCGCGGCCCGGTCCTCGACCAGGCCTCCACCCCCAGGAAGCAGCCCGTGACAGCTGACTAACACCCAGGTACCTATTTTACTGCTAGGTAACAGGGGCATAGGGTGAAAGAAACTCTGCCCAATGTTTCTCGCCGGCGCCTGGGATCGAACCCAGGACCACAGGATCAGAAGTCCAGCGTGCTGTCCGCTCGACTGACCGAACCCCGTAGCTGAATCTATAACAACATCAACAGCGGTGAGAGTACTTACCAATTAAGGAAGACTCGTCGAATTCCTGTGGCTCCGTCCCATGTTGGAGTGTGTGGGAGGAGGTGTGCTGGCTGCTGAAGGACACCATGTTGAATACTTCATCTTGAGGTTATCTTGAAATGATTTCGGGGCTTAGCGTCCCCGCGGCCCGGTCCTCGACCAGGCCTCCGTTTTGTTACACACACCCCGGAAGTAGCCCGTAGCAGCTGTCTAACTCCCAGGTACCTATTTAATGCTAGGTAACAGGGGCATCAGGGTGAAAAAAACGTTTTGCCCATTTGTCTCTGCCTCCACTAGGTATCGAACCCGGAACCTCAGAACTACGAATTCGAAGCGCTGTTCACCCAGCTGTCAGGCGCCCTTCATACCCAAGACTCCTCTATAAATTAGAGGTATCATCAGGCAATATCACCGTGATAAGGTTACTGAGGAAAGGAGGACAGAAGAACAAATCAGTAAATCTGTACGATGGTACAATGTGGTTGCCGCTGGCAATCCCAATCATTATGGCCGAAGAGGAGGTGGCCGCGGGAGAGAATCAGTAATAGCAATGATTCGTCTTGGATACAAATATCCATGGAGATTCGGAATGGAAACAACAGTTGAGCAGAGGAGTTGCAGAATCTGCGGTGAGAGTGATGAACACCACCTTGACTATTACCTGAGAGAATGTGAACACCTGAGAGACATGAGAAGTATGTGTAGAATAATAAACCTCACATTGTTTGAGTTAGGAAAACACTATTTGTCAAATATTGATACTGTTCTTGAAAGATTCCCCAATTTTGCACCAGCAAGATAACGTAAGATTTTAATAATTAACGACTGTTAATCTTCTTGTTTGATAAGCTGTTCACTTGAGATAGTTAAGCAAGTCCCATCTGTGCCTGGATACAAGTGACAGGATGAACAACCCAACGGATTTTCTTCCTATTGGGGGAGTGATGTACAAGGAGCCGGTCAGCCGAGCGAACAGCACGCTGGACTTGTGATCCTGTGGTCCTGGGTTCGATCCCAGACACCGGCGAGAAACAATGGGCAGAGTTTCTTTCACCTTATGCCCCTGTTACCTAGCAGTAAAATAGGTACCTGGGTGTTAGTCAGCTGTCACGGACTGCTTCCTGGGGGTGGAGGCCTGGTCGAGGACCGGGCCGCGGGGACACTAAAATGCCCCGAAATCATCTCAAGATAACCTCAAAATAACATGCTGCTACGGCGGCGTGTCCACTCACAGGATAAGTGGCGCTGCCCAATAAACTTATAATTTATATTTCTGGCATGTTACATATGTGAGTTGGTGTGTGCTTGCTTCTCTAGTCTCGTATATCATGCAGTGCGTCTAGTCCAGAGTAAACAAATAACTTGCAGAAAACATCTGCAAGTTATTATTTCTCTTCTGCAGTATGAATAAAGTTATTTTTTATTTTGATGATATATTTAGAATACTAATAATATTGTACAAATGTTTTCAGGTGCTTTCTCTTTTAAAATTTCAGAACAAGTATCTGCAATAAATACAAATTTAGTAAATAAAGTAAACAGGGGTCCTCTTGGGCTCTTTCAGGTAGTACAATAATGTATATGTTTATATAGTTATTGAAAATCTAATGCTATAATATTATTTACATCAGGTTCACAGTGAAAATGGTTACTCTGCCTTGAAGATGCCAGACCTGTTGGTGACCTGCAGCAGGCACTCCCAGGGATGCTCTATCACAGTTGGTGGGAAGTACTTCAACAGGTTAGTGGAAACTCATTCCCAATATTGATTTTACAATCATCAAACGAAAGTAATGTTGGAGGAGAGAGCTGTGGAGAGAGTTGTGGAGAGAGTTGGAGAGAGAGTGGAGGAGAGAGTTGTGGAGAGAGTTGGGGAGAGAGTGGAGGAGAGTGATATAATGATAAGCGGAGTGGTCCTGATACTGTTTGATAAGGTCAATACCTGGACCTTGTAAATGATAAGGAAGATTTTGAACCATTAACGTTGAGACTGGAGGAAGGAAGGGCCAGACCGGGAAGAATATGATCGGTAGACAGCTAGGTGACAGCATGGGGGGGGGCGGGGGGGGGTGAGATGTGTAATTACCTCAGTGTAGTTACAGGATGAGAGCTACGCTCGTGGTGTCCCGTCTTCCCAGCACTCTTTGTCATAACGCTTTGAAACTACTGTGTGTGTGTGTGTGTGTGTGTGTGTGTGTGTGTGTGTGTGTGTGTGTGTGTGTGTGTGTGTGTGTGTGTGTGTGTGTGTGTGTGTATGTGTGTGTGTGTGTGTGTACTCACCTAGTTGTACTCACCTAGTTATGGTTGCGGGGGTTGAGCTTTAGCTCTTTGGTCCCGCCTCTCAACCGTCAATCAACAGGTGTACAGGTTCCTGAGCCTATTGGGCTCTATCATATCTACATTTGAAACTGTGTATGGAGTCAGCCTCCACCACATCACTTTCTATTGCATTCTATTTGTCAACCACTCTGACACTAAAAAAGTTCTTTCTAATATCTCTGTGGCTCATTTGGGCACTCAGTTTCCACCTATGTCCCCTTGTGCGTGTGCCCCTTGTGTTAAATAGACTGTCTTTATCTACCCTATCAATTCCCTTGAGAATCTTGAATGTGGTGATCATGTCCCCCCTAACTCTTCTGTCTTCCAGCGAAGTAAGGTTTAATTCCCGTAGTCTCTCCTCGTAGCTCATACCTCTCAGCTCGGGTACTAGTCTGGTGGCAAACCTTTGAACCTTTTCCAGTTTAGTCTTATCCTTGACTAGATATGGAGTCCATGCTGGGGCTGCATACTCCAGGATTGGCCTGACATATGTGGTGTACAAAGTTCTGAATGATTCTTTACACAAGTTTCTGAATGCCGTTCTTATGTTGGCCAGCCTGGCATATGCCGCTGATGTTATCCTCATGATATAGGCTGCAGGGGACAGGTCTGGCGTGATATCAATCCCCAAGTCTTTTTCTTTCTCTGACTCCTGAAGAATTTCCTCTCCCAGATGATACCTTGTATCTGGCCTCCTGCTCCCTATACCTATCTTCATTACATTACATTTGCTTGGGTTAAACTCTAACAACCATTTGTTTGACCATTCCTTCAGCTTGTCTAGGTCTTCTTGAGGCCTCAAACAGTCCTCCTCTGTCTTAATCCTTCTCATAATTTTCGCATCGTCCACAAACATTGAGAGAAATGAATCTATACCCTCTGGGAGATCATTTACATATATCAGAAACAAGATAGGACCGAGTACAGAGCCCTGTGGGACTCCACTGGTGACTTCACGCCAATCGGAGGTCTCACCCCTCACCGTAACTCTCTGCTTCCTATTGCTCAGGTACTCCCTTATCCACTGGAGCACCTTACCAGCTACACCTGCCTGTCTCTCCAGCTTATGTACCAGCCTCTTATGCGGTACTGTGTCAAAAGCTTTCCGACAATCCAAGAAAATGCAGTCCGCCCAGCCTTCTCTTTCTTACTTAATCTTTGTCACCTGGTCGTAGAATTTTATTAAGCCAGTCAGGCAAGATTTACCCTACCTGAACCCATGTTGGCGATTTGTCATGAAGTCCCATCTCTCCAGATGTGTTACCAGTTTTTTTCTCACGATCTTCTCCATCACCTTGCATGGTATACAAGTCAAGGACACTGGCCTGTATTTCAGTGCCTCTTGCCTGTCGCCCTTTTTGTATATTGGGACCACATTCGCCGTCTTCCATATTTCTGGTAGGTCTCCCATCTCCAGTGACTTTCTATACACTATGGAGAGTGGCAAGCAAAGTGCCTCTGCACACTCTTTCAGTACCCATGGCGAGATCCCGTCTGGACCAACAACCTTTCTAACATCCAGATCCAGCAGGTGTCTCTTGACCTCCTCTCTCGTAATTTCGAACTCTTCCAAGGCCGCCTGGTTTACCTCCCTTTCTCATAGCACAGTGACCTCACCTTGTTCTATTGTGAAGACCTCTTGGAACCTCTTGTTGAGTTCATCACACACCTCTTTGTCATTCTCTGTATACCTGTCCTCGCCTGTTCTAAGTTTCACTACCTGTTCTTTCACTGTTGTTTTCCTTCTGATGTGACTGTGGAGTAGCTTTGGTTCGGTCTTGGCTTTGTTTGCTATATCATTTTCATAACTTTTCTCTGCTTCTCTTCTCACCCTGACATACTCATTCCTGGTTCTCTGGTATCTCTCTCTGCTTTCTGGTGTTCTGTTATTCCGGAAGTTCCTCCACGCCCTTTTGTTCAGTTTCTTTGCTTACATACATGCCCTATTATACCATGGATTCTTCTTTTGCTTCTCGGATTTTTCCTTTTGAGCCGGGATGTATCTGCTTACTGCCTCCTGACACTTTTGGGTGACATAGTCCACCATATCTTGTACATATCTTGTGTGTGTGTGTGTGTGTGCATGTGTGTACTCACCTAATTGTACTCACCTAATTGTGCTTGCGGGGGTTGAGCTTTGGCTCTTTGGTCCCGCCTCTCAACTGTCAATCAACTGGTGTACATATTCCTGAGCCTACTGGGCTCTATCATGTCTACATTTGAAACTGTATATGGAGTCAGCCTCCACCACATCACTTCCTAGTGCATTCCATTTATTAACTACTCTGACACTGAAAAAATTCTTTCTAACGTCTCTGTGGCTCATCTGGGTACTAAGTTTCCACCTGTGTCCCCTTGTTCGTGTCCCACCCGTGCTGAAGAGTTTGTCTTTGTCCACCCTGTCAATTCCCCTGAGAATTTTGTAGGTGGTTATCATGTCTCCCCTTACTCTTCTGTTTTCCAGGGATGTGAGGTTCAGCTCCTTTAGCCTTTCCTCGTAGCTCAATCCTCTCAGTTCCGGGACGAGCCTGGTGGCATACCGCTGAATCTTCTCTAACTTTGTCTTGTGTTTAACTAGGTATGGACTCCAGGCTGTGTGTGTGTGTGTGTGTGTGTGTGTGTGTGTGTGTGTGTGTGTGTGTGTGTGTGTGTGTGTGTGTGTGTGTGTGTGTGTGTGTGTGTGTGATGAAAATAACACATTAAAAGTTAATGATGTTCAAATGAACAATCTGAAATGTGGCTTGAATAATTGTTACATGTTCACAGAGTGTGGTCATCACATACAACACTGAGTGTGGTCATCACATTCAACACTGAGTGTGGTCATCACATACAACACTGAGTGTGGTCATCACATTCAACACTGAGTGTGGTCATCACATTCAACACTGAGTGTGGTCATCACATACAACACTGAGTGTGGTCATCACATTCAACACTGAGTGTGGTCATCACATTCAACACTGAGTGTGGTCATCACATTCAACACTGAGTGTGGTCATCACATTCAACACTGAGTGTGGTCATCACATACAACACTGAGTGTGGTCATCACATACAACACTGAGTGTGGGCATCACATACAACACTGAGTGTGGGCATCACATACAACACAGAGTGTGGTCATCACATTCAACACTGAGTGTGGGCATCACATACAACACTGAGTGTGGTCATCACATTCAACACTGAGTGTGGTCATCACATACAACACTGAGTGTGGTCATCACATTCAACACTGAGTGTGGTCATCACATACAACACTGAGTGTGGTCATCACATTCAACACTGAGTGTGGTCATCACATTCAACACTGAGTGTGGTCATCACATACAACACTGAGTGTGGTCATCACATTCAACACTGAGTGTGGTCATCACATTCAACACTGAGTGTGGTCATCACATTCAACACTGAGTGTGGTCATCACATTCAACACTGAGTGTGGTCATCACATTCAACACTGAGTGTGGTCATCACATACAACACTGAGTGTGGGCATCACATACAACACTGAGTGTGGGCATCACATACAACACAGAGTGTGGTCATCACATTCAACACTGAGTGTGGGCATCACATACAACACTGAGTGTGGTCATCACATACAACACTGAGTGTGGGCATCACATACAACACTGAGTGTGGTCATCACATACAACACTGAGTGTGGGCATCACATACAACACTGAGTGTGGTCATCACATACAACACTGAGTGTGGGCATCACATACAACACTGAGTGTGGGCATCACATACAACACAGAGTGTGGTCATCACATTCAACACTGAGTGTGGGCATCACATACAACACTGAGTGTGGTCATCACATACAACACTGAGTGTGGGCATCACATACAACACTGAGTGTGGGCATCACATACAACACTGAGTGTGGTCATCACATACAACACAGAGTGTGGTCATCACATACAACACTGAGTGTGGGCATCACATACAACACTGAGTGTGGGCATCACATACAACACTGAGTGTGGGCATCACATACAACACTGAGTGTGGGCATCACATACAACACTGAGTGTGGGCATCACATACAACACTGAGTGTGGTCATCACATACAACACTGAGTGTGGTCATCACATACAACACTGAGTGTGGGCATCACATACAACACTGAGTGTGGGCATCACATACAACACTGAGTGTGGGCATCACATACAACACTGAGTGTGGTCATCACATACAACACTGAGTGTGGTCATCACATACAACACTGAGTGTGGGCATCACATACAACACTGAGTGTGGGCATCACATACAACACTGAGTGTGGGCATCACATACAACACTGAGTGTGGGCATCACATACAACACTGAGTGTGGGCATCACATACAACACTGAGTAAGCTGGTTGATCTAAACTGGTTGATGGGGTTCTGAGAGTTCTTCTACTCCCC